ATTTACTAATGTCAAAACGTTGGCAGTTCACACAGGATGGGACCTGGCTATCGCACTATGCAGATCAGCATGGCATTCCAAGTTCGTCATGGCTGTTTATACCTTTAGTTTTCGTTCTTTGCAGTTGATGCAAGCCAATTGTGTCCTTGGGCCGGTACGGATCCTTCGGGAGCCGGGCAATGCCTGCCTGTGACCAGCATTCTGCATCTTGATGTCGGCATCTGAGGAGACAATGATATGGTCTTCCGGTGGTCACCTAACCCTTGTTGGAAAAGAGGTTTTTAGCAGCTTTTAATTTAGTCAGCTGGCCATATAAGACGTCATCAATGTTATCAGGTCCATCTTGCACCAACTGTTGAGCCGGCCGTTTCAGGTACCGTCTTATCAGATACGGCGTATTTCCCCGCTCTCTGCTCTCATTGGATCACCGTATAGTTCCATGGAAAGTTCCGCAGAAAGTTGCCACTAATTATCTTGAAGTCTCCAACCTTTCATTGGCTTCTCGGAACATTACGGTTACCGTAGAAACTTGGCCATTGATCGCAGAATGGGCAGCAATACACATATGCGTTCTGGGTAATCAATCACGGGCTGAACACCCTGACTCGTGCACTGGCAAACCGCGAATTGCTAGAGTTAGTAACTAATCAAGATACTCTGTCAATATGCCTTAGTTTTCTACTCTTAAAGATAGCACTGGGTTGATAACTCAGCCTCGTGAGATGTAAAAAGGTTGGTCTACATGTAATCGGGGAAGGTCTTTTTCCTTCTTATTTTATCTACTACGGACCATTCAACGGTGACTGAGCCTGAGCTTTGACCTAAATACAAAGGAGAACCACGGGTACTCAGTAGATTGCAGTCTACAAGGATGATTTCAACGGGGTTTCCTCCAACCCCATCTTGGCAACCTCCTGAGCCACGCCCCAGCAGAGTTCGTATCCCGCTCCGCCAGCTCCATACGCATGAATGAGCTTGACTACACGGCGGTGGTTACTTTCACCGCTTCGCGAAGCTGAAAGATGAAGAGACTCGGAAGACAATCGCAGCCCTCCTTTTCGCTCGGGTCTTCTTCCAACAATGTCTCTAATGACATCAAATTTCGAGTTTCCTTTCAAGATGGCGGGGTACATCTTGGCCGCTTGGGTTAAGAGATGGTTTCTTGTCTCCAGTGATGCTCTTGCGGACCAGTTGTTGGGTTCCTTCGTGCCTCCAATGATGGTGCCGCCTTCAAGCGGTCGAGGAATGATGAAGGTCCATGAACCGTCTTTGTTCTGCTGTGTGATGGTTCTGTCGCAGGCGTTGCTAACAAGGCAAGTTTGGCCTACATTGATGAATTAGTAACTGCTGGAAGCCAAGACAGGATCAGGGTTACAAAAGTTGACGGCCAGGTGGAAAGACGGAACAGCTTAATACTGACCTCTAACAGGGAACACATCAGGATCCCCGAAGCCCACTCCTGAGCAGTTCACGACCACCTGGACGTTTGGCGCAAGGCTTGCGGCCTCGTCTAGGCTAGTGAGCTTCAAACGCATCGTATTTCCACCACGGAGAATAAAGCGGCGGAGCAGAAAGATACAATACACGGGCGGGTTCAGGCACCATGCCTGGTACTTGCTCCCGAACTTGATGTTGGGCCGCAGTTCATGCTCTTGGAGTAGCTGAAACCCCTCGGTTTCGGCGTAGCCACCCTGTAACTTTAGGTACTCTTCAGAAGGGTCTTCCAGATAATCGAAGGCATCCAAGAACTCGATTCCCGCCTCGGGATAGGTCTTGGACTGTGCGCGGAAAACGTCCCAGGTGACTTGCTCGAGCTTTCGATCGCGCACTTGGCGAGGTGTCGTACAGGGGGCAGTTCGAGAGTGAGCTCCTGCCCAAGGAGAGGCATAATTGATAGATTCGTCGCCCGGAAACTCCGTGGCAACGATGGTGATGGATCCACGGGGTTTGCTTGCCGCCAACGTTTCCTGAAGTTCTAAGGCCGCCGTGATACCTAGAATTCCCGCTCTACAGCGTCGGCTTAATTAGCCATAGTTCATTGCAGATGGAACAACAGGTCGATAGATGACAGCAGGGAGGCCAATAGCAAGTGAATGTGTAGGGTTAGGGTGAGGTTGAGGCTTATCTCCTTACCCTACAACGACAATCTGACAGGAGTGGTCCATGTTGACAAGCTAGTAACAAAAAATTCCCTCAGTTTCCGAGGCACTAAGTGAATCTTGGAAACGGCGGCTGATAAAAGGTTTCTTGGTAATTGAAGCTGGAGGGCTGGGTTGTATTATAGTATAGGTACCGAAAGATACGAACCCACTTCTGCCTTGGCCCTGATGCTACCCGAGTCGTGCAGCAACTCACCGGCACTTTCACAAATGCAAAAGAATGCCCAAGTTTGGCCTAGGGACTGACTGAAGATAAAGTACATGTTAGATGCAGAACGTGGGGAAGATTTGATCCCTTCAAGGTGTTAAATGACTATTGGCCGCTCGGATTCTTCCGAAAACGCCATTGAATTATTGGCTGGGCGAGGAGAGGAACAATGCCCTGGGACCTCGCGGGACCAGACTAGTCACGGCTGAACCTCGCCCCGACCCCACTGCCAATCTTCGTTATCATGATACATCCATCCCAATAAGTCACCAAACTGACAGATCCATGTATAAGAAGGAACAGGTTTTTCTTACCTATTCTGGCTTCAGATCCTGCCCACAGTCTTTTTTCATCTTGCCTCAAAATCCACAGCAACATGCTTACTTCTCCCCACGCTCAGACAAACCCACCTAGCTCTCATGTCATGAGCAGCGAAGGGACTCAAAACCCTACCGACAAAAAGATCCAGACAGCACCTGCTTCTTCTGCAGATATCCATGCCGGGAGCACCGTAATGTTCCCTCCTGGCACCGTTCGCCTGGGGGACCCAGATGCTGTTGCAAGTCGCGAGGGCATTATCCTCCAACCGCGACCGACTGAAGACCCGAATGACCCGTTGAACTGGCCAAACTGGCGCAAATATATAAATTTTGGGCTTGTCAGCTTCTATGTCCTCATGGTTTCCGAGTTTATCAACTCTGCTGGTCCGACCTGGGGACCCATGCAGAAGGAGCTCGGGTTCAGCGATGAGGCCCTAACCGCGAGCTATGCCATCGGGTGCGCATGTCTCGCCATTGGCGCTGTCATGCTTGTTCCCTTTGCTCTCAAATTCGGTCGCCGACCCCTCTACCTTTTCAGCTCCTTGGTTCAGATTGGCGTGGGCATCTGGTCAGCGAAGATTCAGAATGTTCCTGACCTCCTGCTTGTCAATGCCATCAACAATATCTTCGGGGCGTTAGCCGAGGTCATCGTGCAAATGACAATCGCAGACGTCTTCTTCATTCATCAGCGTGGTACCTTGAACAGCATCTACATCTGGTTCTGGCAAATATCTGTCTCCCTTGGCCCATTCATCGCTGGCTATATCACTACAGGTCAAGGTTGGAGGTGGGTCTGGTGGTGGAATGCTATCCTTTTTGGTGCTTTCTTTATCCTTGTTTGCTTTTGTTACGAAGAAACGAAATACTGCACTGGGGGTTCACTCGCACCTGTCCAGCGAGATGTTGAAGATGATTCGAAATCAGCAGCAGATAGACCCTGGCCAGCCTCGGTCGCTGTCGAGGAGGGTTCACAACATAACCCATATGCTGTCAGGGTCAACTACAACATTCCCAAGAAGACGTACTGGCAGCGACTGGCGCTTACAACTACCTCCTCATCTTCTGGTGGCCTCAGAACCCTTCTTAGCCATATGTATCAGCCTATAATTCTTCTCACCACTGTTCCAGCCGTTGCCTATACCGCACTTGCTTATGGCATCTTGGTTGCCACGTCAGATGTTATGTCGACAACACTCTCGCTCTACATGACCAAGCCACCATATACTTTTGCGCCCAATGAAATTGGCCTCATGAATTTATCCAAGTTAGTTGGCAGTACAATCGGCACTCTGATTGTCGGCCCTGTCAGTGATACTTTGATTCTATGGCTTGCCCGTCGGAATGACGGCATCTACGAACCGGAAACGAGATTGTGGAGTCTTGTCCCTTTTCTTCCTTTTATCCCTGCCGGGGCGTTGCTATTTGGACTCGGTCTACAGAATGGCCTGCCATGGCCTATTATTGCTGTCGCTTTGGCACTCTTCAAGCTTGGAATGGCCCCAGTGAATAGCATTACTATCACCTACCTTACCGATTCCTACCAGGATGTAAGTCTACCACTAATCTTTGGCCCTTTTTGAACATGTCGAGACTAAGAGAAGCAGGTCATTGGTGATGCATTAGTTGGCGTCACCATCGTCCGCAATGCCTTTAGCACAGCCTTCATTTTCGCTCTCGATCCATGGATTCGTTCTGTGGGTATTCAATGGGTCCTTATAACGATCGTTCTCATCACTACTGTAATTCTCTCCTTGACCGGTGTGTTGATTAAGTATGGTAAGCCATTTCGCGCACACACTGCTGAGAGATACCAGCGTTTCGCTCTCCTTCAGTACAAGGAGAGATGAGCCGCTTCTAGAACGTTAGCATGGAAGCAGCATCAGGGAGCCATGGGCTGGCGCACGTTTTCAAGGTTTTGGCAACTGCTAGTCTTCTCTTGTTTGGTCGGTATGGTGCTTGGTTAGGGTTATGTCAAGGGTAGAAGCCTCGGTATGATCAGATTGAACCTTCTTCTAGTGACTCAATCCATTCATTCTTTGACGTTCTATGAAACTCGGGAAGACACTTCTCAATCAAGTTAAGACAAGTATGTCGTCTTACGAACCCTCTATTTTTGCTTCAGCATGTGCCATGAGTTTGACAATGGGCTGTTAGGCTTCAATCCGGCTGAGAGGAAGTAATAGACATGTCGGCGCATCAGGATCTCAGCCCTATTGCAGCAACCAGCCTGATTCTAGATAAACTGGTCAAGATACCTCTGGAGTGACTAATATGAGAATTATATTGAGTATCTAGCCTCTTCTTGTATTGTAGTTATTTACTGTCTTCTATATGTGTAAATGAAACCTCAGCTTCCTTAAACCGTCGAGTATGAACTTTTTGCTCAAACAGAATGTCCATCTCAGCAGTAGTCCTGCCCTTAGATTCGGGGACCATGAAGAAGGTAAACACAAACCCGATGATAGAAGCTCCAGCCCAGAAGAAACCAGCAAGAGCACCCCAGTTCCATGCAGTAGGGTTTAGCATATAGGGAGTCATAACGCCGGCGAGAATATTGATGGCTGAGTAGAAGTTCCGCGCAATGACAACTGACTTGCTCCTGAGCAGCGAAGAAGGGATTTCAGATACCAGCACGAAGGTCACTGGTAAGACCAAGAGATTGGCCACGAATCCATCAACCGCGATAAGAGATCCGATGGCCCAGGCCATTGCTGAAGATGACGAGATGTGTAGCTTGACCCCCATACCGCCGATGGCTGTAAAGATAGCAATTGTCAAGGCGCCGCCCCAGAGATACATTGTTCTCCTGCCTGTGTAGGTCATCACAATCCACTATTGATTCGTGTTAGATCACACTTAAGATACCGAAGTCGGGAATAATACTTACCGCGCCGAGGACTCCAAGAACTGAGAGCACCAATGCAACGATTGTCATATTGAATGACTGATCGGTGGGTAGGCCAGCCTGAAGAAAGAAATATGTCATATAACCTCGAAATTGAGAGCCGGTCAGCAGCTGCATAAGATAAACTCCGATGACGATGATTGTTCGACGGAGATTGGTCCCTTTAAAACAGGCAAGATAACTCGTTCCAGATTCAACCTGTCGCTCGTGCTCTGTGGTGTAAACCATCAACGAGATGAGTTTCTGAGTATAAATATCGAGTTCCTCAGAGGTCAATCTGGAAACAGCAGCTTGGGCATCTTCGAGACGGCCCTGGCGTACCAGCCACCAAGGCGACTCTGGTGCTGCATAGACACCACCAATGATCAGGATCGGCCAGAACCACCTATATGTTTGTTAGATTATGTCGTGGAGGCATATGGAGGGAGCGTTACTGGAGAGCAAAGGGGACTCGGTATGTCCATGGGCTAGGAAGAGTCAGGGTACCACGGAAGACAACCGCATTGAGAAGTTGACCAAGAGCCTGAACACGTTAGCTTCCCACCATACTTTCAAGCATTGTTTTCTCACCCAAGTCAGTGAATAGCAACTAGTCAAGTAAGGGCGAAGTGCGTTAGGCATGATCTCGGTAACGTAAACGGTAGTTACAGTTTGGAATATGCCGAGGGGAATGGCTGCGCACTGTTAAACCCATAACTTGAAGCATGCACATAGCTAGATGCTTACCGAAAAGAAAAATAGTAACAGCCAAGACCGTGAGGCTGGGGGCAAAGAAAAAGCCGAAGATGATGGGCGGCATTGAGGTCAGAGTAGTCATCATGGTGATCCGAAAGCCAAATCTCTCAGTAGCCCATCCGCCCAAAAACATGCCTATGATATTGGTGACACCCATAATGGAGCCTAGTCCGCTCTGCCAAGGCGCAGAGATCTGATAGGACCCGTCAGGTAGTTGCTCACCATACGCTTCCCGGAAAGCGGGCACTGCATAGAGCGAACCGAGGATTTTCGTGTCAAAGCCTTCCATGACGAGCGTGAGAGACACAAAGGCGCCGTAGAAAACAGCCTTGGAATATAATTTCATGGCGCGACTGGGAGTCAGTGAATGTTCCCAGAGCATGGCGGCTTCCGCATCTGCCACGAGGCTGGCCTCCATGGTCTGTGACTTGACGGGGAACTTGTCCATAGTGTTCAGGACTCGGAGGCTGATGTTTTGCGTGTGAAGAGATTGGATTATTCTTTGTCTGCTGGAGGATTGGTATCTGGACTCAAAGATAGCACGACCAGTCTTATAGCAAGCAGTCTCTAACTAAGACTTAACTTAGAAGAAGCTAAACAAGGCGATTGACAGGCGTGAAGCAAATCATGGGCCATTGCTCGTTGCAATATGCACCACGAGCGCAAATCCGGGGAAGTGTATGGATGTGCCACTCATGAGAAGGCTATTCCAGGATCCACTACAAGCGAAGGAGAGCCGAACTTTGACAGGCTACCCCACTATAGACGAGCTTTTAGGCTCTTGTAGGTAAAAATCATCTCCACTCTAAGCGAGGATGACCCGCTATAGGCGAGCCACTTGGATTGAGCGCCAATGACGCTGGAACAGGGTAGGGGTGGTATCAGTGTGTACTGCATAGCCTCTCTCTGCACGACAAGGTGATTGACTATAGGTACAGAGTAATCTTGTGTTTGCAATTGGCAACGAGTTGGGCAATGCTGCTCGCAATTGATTTCCAGAGGGAGGTATGGGCAACAACAAAAGACTTTCGTATCTAGGCGAAGTTACGGGAAAGCGATGATTATCTTGCTGGGACTGTAGATCTTCCTAAATCCCCAACACTCACCGTTCCTCAATCGTCAAGACATTCAAGCTGAAACATATGAAGCGAGTATATTCATCATGATGATCACAAGGTGAGACGTTTTGATTGAGCCACGACAAGTTCCTCTATATCCGTGGAAACTGTGGATATCTTAGTATCCTTCAATTATTCTGTTCATGGCAGCCAAGAGGGCGTCATGCATTTCTCCTCGAGCAACCACCAACCCCCTGTTCCGGTTCAAATCCCTTCCCGCTCCAAAGTCCATCGCCTTTCCATCCAAATCCGTCACTTTGCCTCCGAGCTCAGTAAAGATGAGTTGGGCGCCCGCGTGATCCCATATGTACATCTTGGATGCTGAACTCGCCGGGACCCAAAACTGCGCATTTCCACCGCCGACTATCAGGGCCGCATAGCGTACATGCGAGGACCACACTTCAATGTTGGGGAATTTTGCCTTGAACTCGTCCGCCAGCTCAGCGATTACATCGTGACGGCTGACATCACTGAGAGCACAGTCAACGATGTGTAGGTTGTTGTTGTTGTTGCTGCTGTGTGTTTTCATGATACTCAGTGGAAAGGCGTCTTTGAGGCCGCTTGGTGTCATGGTCCGGGCCATGGAGCCTTGGCCTCGGACGGCAGTCAGCATGATGCCCATCCCACTCTTATCAATGTTTTCCTCCGAGATCTGGGTCATACCAGCGCTGATATTGGGATATCCTAAAACGCCAATGACCTCTCTCCCTTGCTCGATAAGAGACAATGCAACGGCGTATTGCTGACCTCTCAGGAATGTGGCGGTCCCATCAACAGGATCCATGACCCAGAACCGTCCCTCGTCTCCTCCTGTGCCGCGTCCGCCGAGGTCAATCAGGCTCAGCATCTCCGCAACAGAGGATGGCTTAGGCAACGGAATACCAGTGTTCGGATCTATCGTGTCTGCTACTGAGGACACCAGCTCAAATACCTTACTGCAGAGTGCTTCATCGGCCCGCAAGGCAGCGGAGTCCTCTTCTCCCAAGAACTTGTCAGATGGGAAGGCATCACGAAGTGCTATAATAAGTAATGCCTGAGCTGCAAAGTCGGCAATCGTCACTGGAGATTCATCGTCTTTGGAGATCTCATGGACTCGAGATTGAACCGATTTGGTAAGGATCGAGGCTCGCAGAACGGCCAGTTGCGCGATATGCAGCTCACGAGCGAACGGAGTCATGGTGAAAGGGAGGAATAGGTGATCAAGATGCCTCGTTATCGGATTCAAGAGGAAAATGGTATGACTCGATCGAGGTATAGAAGTATAGTGCCCGTGATGCCTAAATCAATCTAGAATCATTCTGTTTAGTCTCGGGTCATTAGGTACTCAACCTGAGGCGAATACTTATACAACAGCGGTTCAACTCCTATCAAGACAAAATACCGCATAGTTATTGACTTCTGCTGCAGATTATTATTTCTCGATTTGTCACTTTGGAACCCAAATTCCCCCAGAACATTTTCATCCTCCTTCGTGTCAGTCTCGGCAAAGGTGGGTCTGTGGTAAGATGAAAGGGCGCTTAGAGATAAGCTGGCCTCGGTTATAGATAAGCACTCTTGGGATCAACATCCGACATACCTTGTTGTGTTGTCTTATAACACCACTTCTCGTCACTTGGTTGAGGCCAAGGCAAAGCGATACTCACAGCAATATGGACAATCCCCTACGAATGACGGCCGAGACGACCCGGGTCGCAGGGCATCGAGGTTACAGTTCTGCCGCCCCAGAGAACACTCTGAGCGCATTCCGGAAGGCTCGCGAGGTCGGTGGCAGAGGAGTCACCTGTGAAACTGACCTCGCTCTGACTCGGGACGGACAATTGATCCTGATTCATGACGAAACTGTTGACCGCACAACAAACGGTCATGGCCTTGTGCGAAATATGGACTACGCTAACATCGCCAAACTTGACGCTGGTCTGTGGTTTGACAAGTCGTTTGAAGGAGAACGAGTCCCTCTGCTGAGAGATGCTCTGTTACTCGCCCGTGAGCTCGAAATCATCTACCAACTTGAGCTCAAGATCTATGACCGAAATGACGAATTATTCCCAAAGCTGAGCGCACTTATCAACGAATTGCAATGCGCCGATCTTTTGCAATTCTCATCGTTTGACTTTGCTCAACTGAGGGCTGCTAAACAGGCCATCCCCGGAGTCCCCACAGTCGCCATCTCTCATTCACGACTTATCAACCCTGCCGCTGTGGCACGAGAAGCACAAGTGGACGCCGTCAACCTCGAGATCCAGCATTTCCCGAGCGGCGAAGCTCATCAACTTCACAAGGAAGGCTTTGCTGTCTTCCTGCATGTGCCAGCCCCTGAGAGGCTTGCAAACCTGAAGTCGTACGGGGTGGATGTGGAGGCCCAGGTTGTTGGATGGGTCCGTGAAGGACTATTAGACCAGCTCATTAGTGACGATGTGGCTCAGGTGGTTCGGATCTTGGAACAGGCTCGTCAGTGATACGATGCTCTTTACCGCCGCTACGGCTGACCTCTGCGAGGCCACTTCACACTCCCATATTGATACGATTTTAGCTATAATGAACCTAGATGTAAATTTCAAGCCGTACATCAGTCTGTACAAGATATAGATGGTCAACGTCAAGTATTGCATCCACAAGACAAAAGCTATGATCTTTCATTTCTGTCTCATTGTCCTATAATACCCTGATCTGAATATACAGATAGGTGCTCGCCAAGTCAGAGTCCTAAAGTCGCATTAGAATCTATAGAGGTGTAGGAGTACGTCTGGGGACCCTAGCCCAACCCGAACCCCGGATAGGAAAATTGGCTGAGTATGGGGGACCATGGGGAACGCCCCGCTCGTTCTTATAGCGGCTAAGACCAATTAGGGATAGGAATGGAATGGAATAGGAATTGTCCGAATTGACCAACCTTGATTAGTAGACTTCACTTTTGTTTCGCCCTGCTCACCTCTAGCTTTCACTTCACCGAGCGACGCTCTTCTTCGGCGATACATCCCAGAATCACCCTCAAAAGTACGCGGTCAACATATATCATGTCCGCACCCTCTACAGTTCCCTTGACAATGTCGTCCCTTCATGCCGATGGAGAGAGAACAACCAGCCCTCAAGACCAACAGGCATCATTGTCCACGGTGCCTCGATATAAAGGTTGTGTGCGCACTGGATGCCTTGTCTGCAGAGCTCGAAAGATAAAATGCGACGAGCAGCGACCTAAGTGCCAGAAGTGCATCCGGGGAAGCAGGACATGCGTCTACAGGATTGCGAACAGATGGGAGCCGCTTCAAATGCCTGTGGTATCAAATCAAGATTTTGGTGTATTCCAACAGCAACAAGAACCTGTCGGTGCGGATACAATTTCCGCTGGTGAAACGATAGCAACTGGCATTGAGAACTATCCTGTTCTTGGGCAGCAGATCCTGCCGGAGAGCGCCATACACTCGAGCCTACCAAGCATATTGACCGTTTCAAATGATGTAGGCCCGACATGCCAAATTACTCGTTCGCCTATTGATATCCAAGAGTCATCTTCCGACCACAGCACCGGTTCTCTCTCCCAAAAGTTACCCAGTACTGAGTCCTCTCCGAGCAGCTTACAAGAAGCTTCTCAGCTTATCTTACTGAGCACCACCATTGATTGGCTAGCAGCTTTTGAAGTGGCTATACCCTCGTCATTTTGCTATTTCATAGAACAGGTGGATTGCCCTTTCCTTTCGCCATTCGACTTTTTGAATTGGAACCGTGTCAAGACGCACATCGCACGTCTGGGTCTTCAATATGTCCCAGTATCAAAGGCTCTTCTTGCCATTCAGGCAGTTTATAGAGCCCAGGTAGATCGCCTGTCTATGGTTCACGCCAGGTCAGAATATCAAGCTGCAGTGGACAATTTCGAATATATATCGAGCGACCAGGGTGTTGATTTTGATGTCATTCTGATCGTTGCATTCCTCCTCTGCTTGTGTATGACAACCCTACCGAATGAGGACAGCTCGTTCGGTGTATTAGATGGAACTTTTACCGAAAGACTGCATGCTTGGTTGCAAGGCGGCCACCGAGAGCCTATCTCCTCAAGGATCTGTGCTTGGTTGCAGCTTTTAAACACGGCCACGAAGCGATCAGGAAGTGTCGGCCTATTATCAGAGCATATTGCCAATCTCCTGTATGACCACATAAACGACGTTCCCAGCCTTTCTCTACTTGACGACAATACACCCCCAGAGCATTCTTTGTTCGACGCTGTCTCCGCGCCTATATTCTCCTTTCATCTCAGGGTTCAAAAAATTTCGAATCGAGTCGCAAATATTACGCATTATCGCAGGTCACGCACTACACCTGAGGATCAAGCAGAGGTGACTGAGCTCGTTGACGTTTTGAAAACCGACCTTGCTTTTCTGTGGGAGAATCGGCCAGCTCCTCTGCGACTACCGCCCGATAAACTTCGAGAACACTTCTCTTCTCAGATATCCGACCCGCTCATCGCACTAGCTGGAGTATGTAGTGCAGCATTTCATACCGAGAATGTTGTAATTGGACGCATACTAGGAGATCAACCTTTTCCGTGCCCGGAAACCAGGCCAGCCCGCGAGGGTATTCGCGATATCATTGATGGTAAATGGAATGCCTCACTATGCGGAGCACTTAATCCAGGTTATCTTCGCCCACTATTTATTTATGCACTCGAGAGTGTCGAAGAGCCGCAGACGCTTTGGGCCGCTGAGTGCTTGAGACGAATTTCACATCCTATTAGTCGGTCTAACTTTCTTGCATCTTTTATTGAGGCCCACGGGAAAGCACAGAGAGCTCAAGCAAGAAGAGTAACTATGAAGTACTTTTGCTATCAGACTTTTAGCGTACCGCTACCATATATTTAGTTCTTATCAAAGAATACACGATACTTGAGGTTCTTTATATTTAACCTATCAAGATATTAATTTATCCAACCTCCTCATAACTACGTCGCACCCACTCTAGCGCTCGTGCAACCACTTTGAGAATCAAGCTCAGGCCAGCTGTTAAAGCAGCGACCGCGAATACTCCCACTCAGTGATTTACTTCATGTGGACACAACCAGCTCAACATAGTGAGAAGTGCCAGCCCAGCTGTACGCGCGTACAGTTCATACTACGATGGAAGAACTTCCCGTGATAGCTCCTCCTTGAGGCTCCAACTGGGAGCAATGGGAAATCCACCACCAGGACGTTCAACGAAACAACTGGCGAATCCATATTGAGCTCAAAGACCATCGTATAGGCCTCCCATGACTCCAGAAATTTGCTCCCAAAAGTCAGGCCCAGAAACAGCCGACGGGGAGTACAACTCTACGCGGTGAGACGGGCAAGCTATGGGAGGCATAGGTCTGGCGCCATGGAGGGAAGCATCCTGTCGATGCTGTCCACAGTGCCATTAGTCGTGTCTCTCCAGATGATAAGTAACCCTCTGATACTGTGGCACTTTATCTGTTAGAACTCAGGGAATAACCTACTATCGCTGCTTTTCACCTTATAAACTATCCTGCAAGCCTAGAAGATTTTAGGAAGGTAAAAGACAAGTTCTTTGCCTATAGCGGCACATACGCGCTAGCAGCATATGCTATTATAATATCTAATATCTAAGTTATGGCCTCACTAGAGAGTTTAACCCCCAAACCACAGGAAGGAATTAGTCGCGCACCTATTCTGCATAAGGCTACACACTAATTTCATCAGTATCATCCAGGACATCTTCACATCAAAGGAACACCCACAAACAAAGAGATACCATATCAGACCTGCCTTCCTGTAAACCCAAGAATCAAGATGGAGAATAAGCTCAGCGTGAATCCATCCGGGTTGATAGACATGCCTGTGTCCGGCTGCGGAGCGTTATGGTCCCGCACGTCGCGCATCCATCTGCATCTCCATGGACATGTGGAGACCGGGGACGATGAGCACGGTGCGAGAGGGAGTAGGCTTTTGAGAGTAAAACCAAATCATGATATCATTTCAATGCAGTATCACTTGTTTCTTATGTCGCAAAGTTTTAGCTCAATGTATTTCATCTTGACTTTGTGAAATTACACGCCGAAATCCCCCCCCAAGCGAGTATAGAAATGGCACATTCACTGGCGTCGATACGGAAGCCTACAAACCAATTTTGGACTTGTTTGTTCTTATTTATAAATTCCCACTCCAGCTATGAATACATAAATAGATCATTTCTTGATCTTCCACGGGTAAAAGTTGACTGAGACCCGTACGTCGAAAAATTGACTGGCGGCATTCTCAGTTTACCTTGACCTTGAACCTATCAGCTTCTCTTGCAGTTGCCTGTGTCATTACCAGCACAGAAGAAACTGAGGCAATAGATCCAAAGAAAGCAGCCATAGAGCTCCATCCAGTGTTGCAAAAGGGGTAAATGGCTATAGAAACAGCGGCAAGTACCAGTCCTAAGCTGAAGAACAACCACATCATGCTGTATGCTGGTGATAACCACGATTTCTTCATGAGAGGAACAACCATGATGAGGTTGCCCAGGACAGACATGATACTGCTTTGAATCAGATACCAGAAATCTGCATCCTCGGTGCTGCCTTTTCCACCAGCCTTCCACGAGATAGCAAATGCCTTGGACCAGGGAATGATGGCTGCAATCAAGAACATAAGAATCAGGACCATGAGCGTGACAGTCTCCTGGATGGTGGTTATTCATGTGCCGATCAATATGAAGCATTCTTACCTACTTTTTTGGACTCTGCCATCTCAGAAATTTCTGTCACTGAATCTTCGTCAGATTCGACAGGTTGGGATTGACGCTGCTCATCGACGATGAGATCATAGAGGTGGTCGCTATTAGAGGATGATGATCTAGCCCACACGCTATCAAGTATACGGATTCTCCTGTCAATTCCCTTCAGGATCTGGGTTATATCATCTTGTCCTGATTCCGCATAGGCCGCAAGCCGCGATCTTCCAATCAGTATCTCATGTTTGACGCTCTCAATGACACGAATGACAAGATCCTCGGTCAAGCTCTTCACTTGCTGTCGCCATTCTGAGAATAACTGCAACGACAGTTCCCAATAATGGACCTCTAGGGAATCCTGCAGGTAGTGAAATATTTCATCGTCGCTTCGGCAAGTGAGGTTGAAGACAGGCTGGGAGGACCCTGGATTGGTCCAAGACTTAGCCACAGCTTCGCAAAAGGAGCCAAGATCGCCAAGATACACATCTGGAGCCATAGGTTGATGAGAGCCATTGCCAGGTCGATTCACAATGTCGTGTCGAATTTTCTTTAGGCATTCGTGAACATGTTCTTGGTCAAGCGATGGACCCGCGGCTTGGAAGTACTCGGCAATGGCGCAATCGAGGAAGTGTAACGGCTTGAAAATCTCAACCAGCTGTCTTTTGGTCTCTTTATTCTTTATTTTGGGATATGGCGCATAGGACTCGATGGTTTGCGGCAACTATGATGAGGTCAGAGCCCGACTATAGGGCTCTCGATTATGCACTGGCTTACCCGTCGGTCATCTTGGAAGCGAGCTCTGTTCCGAAGCTGGAGCCTTGTTGCGCTTCTATTTGTAGGCGTATCTTTGCTATCATTCCGGACCGCGAAACTGGCGAACAGAGATTGTGAATTGAAAGTCACATTTATGATTCCCGTATTGTGACCGATTTGTAAGCCTTGGTTGTCTCCGGAAAAGTGAGTGTTGGCAGTCGTCACTTCAGATGACCCATTTTTATTCCTCTTTCGCACAGGGTTGAGGACGTCGAAGGTTTGGGATTTCGCTAGAGAGTGGTGTGGTCGATCATCCTCCTCGGCGGATACGCCATTGTATGTTAATTCGGTCTGTGAAGACATGGCTTCCACAAGGTACTGCGTCGCCAATGAAAAAAGAAGTCTTATTAAACTGTTTTTTTCTTCTAAATATCCTTTCGAGATGATATTACATCGAAACCCACTCCTCTTATAGATCGATTCACGTCACTTATCAAGCTGCAACCTGCAGCTGTGGTGCCTTGAGGGGGGCTGTGGGATGGTGGTGGCTGAGCGGAAAGAGGCCTCAAAGTCGGCCTCAAATTGCAGATACCTACTGGCTGAGATTGAGCCTGAAGCAAACACAGCCCAATCCACTACTGAAATTGACGCAATAATGAATCACATCCCCGGCAGGTTGAAAAGCTTTGACTGGCTAGGATGCCTCAAGGCATTTTTCAAGAAGCGAGAAGAGTGTCACCATGGGTATCACATTTTTACCACTAGGTCAGCAGCGTACATAGTCAGCCGCACGAGGCTGACGGTCAACACATTCATCGGCATCAATATTGATTGGTACTCTTCCATTTCATTTTCATTGGTTACGTCCTTGTTTTTCCGAAAAGGATTATCAAGTTCAAAGGCCATCCAGGCATTGGGCTACCACTGAGCCACTACACTGAAGCCACCACACTGCGCAAGCCAACAAAATCGACCCCGCCACAAAGCTATGCTGCGATGGCAGCGAGTTGATAGCGACTGACATTGAGCGCAGGCAAGGGCTTAATTCTGCTTCTGCATGGAGGTCCTGGGCCAGGAAAAATAACTACAAGGGGTAAACTCTTGAAACTGCTTAGGGATATAGAGAGCGTCGACTGACTTGGACAGAATGCGTTGCACGCTGGAACGATCGTCAGATCCATAATGCCTACCAAACCGCTCTTGCCCTCGCTGAGTTTGAGGGCCAGAAGCTAGTCAATCCAGCTGCTAATGGCGGCCGGAACTTCATGGAGGTCGCAGCCATGTTAAGGAGGATGGTCAGGTCAAGTTGACAAAGAAAATCTTCCAAGATGTAGCAAAGGCTTATCTAGCATCCATGAGGTATCTTCGAGAGGTTCATAGTGTCAGTGCATCACAGCAAGCTAAGAACTTCCGTCTGCCTCACGATCGATGGGGTCTTTGGAGAGTCTGCAAGCCTCCTAGCCTCAAGGCAGAGGGAGTATCCAGCAAACGGCAAGTCACACTATGGGCAGTGGTATGGTGCGAGACCAAGTGCAAGACAAGGCCAGCAAACGCGAGGACAAAAGTATCAACAAGATCACCATGATGGTGAGGACGTTGCCTACTAGTAAGGATATGCTGATGATCACCATGGTCATCAACATGACCAGGGACTCAAGCAGGAAAACCACGATGGCAGGGACTTGGAGAATGAACCATCGTTTGATGAGCAAGATGACTATAACGAAGGCTATAAAGAACGTCCTTCTGCGTGAGGCGAACAAGCAGCGCACAACTATGAAGACGAAATTGAGGACAACAAGTACTATCCAGAAGACGAGCAGCAAACTAAATAGTACCGCCCAGGTCTATCGCAATCAGAACTAAGAGAGTGATATCCTGCCTGTGGTGGAATTTGGGGAAGAGGCTCTGGTCGCGGACAATAAACGTCGAGGAGAGGCTATCACGTTCCTAAGACAAGAGTCATGCCAGGGGCGTATAGAAAGAGACCTGCTACTTTCCGTACGGTTTCTCCTGATATAGCTGATTAAGCATCCTGTTCAGGAGTAGAAGAAATGATACTCATAGATTGCTGGTTTTGGAGTACACAGGTGGACCATGTGATGGTCGTGTAAGAAACACAGATAAGAAATCACAGAGTGCTTTAGTTACGTGTATGACTCCATGTTGTCTTAAGACTATTGTGTGGGTAGTTAGTATGCTGCCTGAAGTGTGTTTATAAGAGTGTTATTTTGACTTGACAGATGATAGCGGATGCTTGTACACCTTACCTCGACACTTCATGTCGTATAGGTTGAAAGGCATAACGTTGACGCCATTGACTACGAGATACTCTGTGACTCGTACACGATCTTGTGGCCCTTTGCATATCAAGTAATAGCACTTCTGTTTTCATTATTAACATCTATCAGATCCACATAATTATATTCTTATCCCACCATGGATATCCACCAAACACAGCTCCCGTTTGAACCTGCTCGTATCGTCAACGATTATCATTTTTCATCACCCTCTACTTCTCATTTGTCTCATGCTGAGTATCTTCCTCGTGAGCGGCGCCAAGCTTAGCCTCAACATCACCCTTCTCAGCCTTGGTAGTAAGATGAGTAGCAACGTGAGTCTTCCAAGCTGGAGTACCGATGTACTTGATACCATTTGGATCCTCAAACATATCCGCAGTCTCCTCAAGTGTCTTTCCAGCTGTCTCGGGGAACATGAAGAAAACATGGATAAACATCGCAACATTGAATACACCGAAGATGATGTAGCTCTTCCAGGTAATGTTCTCAAAAGCAACGGGTGTGAACAGTCCAAGAGCAGTGTTGAAAGCCCAATTCGATGAGGTAGCAAAGGCGACACCTTTTCCTCGGAGACGAAGAGGGAAGAGTTCGGGGGGGTATGTCCATGAGGCTGGACCCCACGTTGGTGCGTAAGAAGCGACGAAGAGATATGTGCAGGCGATAAGACCCTTTGCAGCACTTCCACCGACACTCATGGAGACTTGAGGAGAGTCACGCTCATCCTTGGGGATCTCAGTGCCGTGAGCAGCCAAGATACCGGCGTTGGCGAACATCCATGTGCACATGAGAGTAGCACCGATGAGGAATGTTGGGCGCCGTCCCCATTTATCCATCCAGAGAAGGGCGGGAATGGTCATCAAGACGTTAATGATGTACTGGATAGATGAAGCGAGAAGGTTGGCGTTGCCCTTGTATCCTGCCATCGAGAAGACGTAAGATATGTAGTACACTAAAATTGTTAGCATCAAATCTGTAAGGAGGTGAAGAAGACTTACTCATGACGTTCATGCCAGTAAGTTGAGACCAAATCTGAGTAAAGATGCCAATGACAGTCCTGTTGATCATGTTCGGCTTGAACAGATCAAGGTATGTTACATCAGCAATCGACGCTTCAAAAGCGCACATATCCTTGATATCCTGCAACTCCAGCGCTACAAACGGGTGATCAGGATCTCCATGCCCATGCACAAGGGTAAGTACACCATGGCACTCGTCCCAACGATCCTTCCTCGCAAGCCAACGAGGAGACTCCGGCAGCAACATCATCATGAAGAAGAGGAACACGCCAGGAACCATCTGAAGACCCCAGGGCACACGGAACGCAGCGGTGGAGTAGTCGGAGGAGTGACGGCCGCCGATCATGGCGCATCCGTAGGAGATGTAGTACATTATCAGGATGCCCCATGTTATGGCCCATTGCTGCATGCCGATGAAGCGGCCGCGCTTGGAGGGGGGTGAGATCTCGGCGATGTAGACGGGGACTTGGGCGGATTCGATGCCGACTGCGAAGCCGTTTATGATGCGGCCGACGACGAGCATGCCGATGTTCTGAGAGGCGCAGGAGATGATAGACCCGATGATCCTACCGATGTTAGTATGTAACCTTTGTGCTACCATGTTGATGACTTACCAGATGATACAACCAACCATGATAGAGTACTTCCTTCCAAGACGATCACTAATAATGCCTGATACCAAAGCACCCAGCCACGAACCAGCAGCCATACTCGCCGTTATACCACCCTGGTTGAGCGAGGTAGGTCCACTGCAATCCTCATCATTATCAAATGGCGGTCCTTTAGGTCCTTGGTTAAAGTAACATTTATAAGAGTTCTCGCCCAATTGAGCAGAGATAGAGGAAATGTCGAAGCCGAAGAGTGCACCTCCTACGACGGAGACACCGGCGATCACGTAAATGTTGCCAATAGGCATATTGGTAGAAGTGTAGTCAAACCAGTCAGTAAGTGATTGAGCTGTAAGACGAACGATGCAACTAAGGCGGGATGCGTTTTATAGCTGTCATGCTCACTGGGGATGGTTACACTTGTTTGAGATGATGGCCTCGGGTTAATGTGTCCCGTTAATGTGGACGCTGAAGGATTCTGCTTTGTCCTCCGGTTGCATACATTTGAGCTCCTGATGCTGGAGATCCTTGCTGTTGGGAGCTTCTCCACTGGGCACGGGGATAACGTTCTGGGGTTGATGGAGGTGGGTAGAACATGGAATTGTTTGTGATATGACGTATTGCTAAATCCTTCGAATTTTTGGATGTCAGTCAATTATTGTGCTATCACCAAACGATCCATTGATCATAGTCTCGATTTAAGTTTTCCAACTTTCTAAAGCTTCAGTTGTTGGAGTTCATCACACTCAGATACAATAGATACAGTCAAAGCCTAACTCTATCCCCATATTCTTCATCTCCATACGAAAAACCATCATCCCCAAAGATCACCACTTTTTCAGTGGATCTTCATCCGTGACGTTACATCTTTACCACCGAGTATTTGGCCGTTCTGTTCACTCTCTATTCGGCAACAACCTCGCGGAACATTAACTGGCTAGTGGTGTCATTGTCGATCATGTCACTTGAATCAAGAAAATATCCCGTAAGGCATGCATTTTAAACCCGTATATTACTTAAAACCGGTAAGCTCACAGCGCTTATTACTTAAAAATGCGGGCTGATCATTTCGGATCCGAGAAAGAAAATGGTGTGTTCCCCCGGATCTCCACTGTGGGAATAGGTCCGAATACAAAGGCGATAAGCGCTGCAATGAGACCCAAGAGTTTGGGGGAATGGACTGAGTGCTGGAGTCACATGTTCGGTGTGTTTTGACAGGCGAGGGTTCGTGATACCATGGGTCTTGTGATGGGATGAATCGAGAGATGCGAGAATGGCATTATTTCGATTCTGGCTAAATTGAACCTGATGCTTTTTGTTGCTCTTGTTTCATCCTGGTTATTGTCTTGTGCTTTTGGAAGAGTTTGATGGTCATGTGCATTTAGTGGGCTGGTCCAAACTGCTGGGAGCTGATCAACATCACATCGCCAGCGTCTGTAATTGTCAGCAAGTCATTCAATAGTTCAATACAATCTTCGTTTGTCGGTTGTTCTCCAGCTCTGAATTGCAGAGACTCGAAATTCTTACGTTCTCGTGTCAATTGGCCTACCCTACCCTACCAACATAAATCTGAGGCTCGACGACGGCTTAACCTACACCTGTCAGACGCGCTGCGACCGCGTCGCGTTTTCTTGAGTGAGACGTACCGTTCCCCTCCGCATTCTTGTATCATCATCCGTATTCTCAATTCGATGTTCTGTTATTATTGTCTCTGTGCACTTGGTTCAAATTCCTAGTGCGGAATGTCCTTCCAGTATCCGAAAGCCTCGCCAACTTTACTTTGATGCTGGCGCACTGAATCATGCCCTGTAGCTGAAACTCAAATTCTGTTACGAGGAGTGCCAGGCCGTCAATGATGAGCGATGGAGCAGGAGCTCGAGTAAATCTATTACCAATAGAGATATTCTAGCAATGTAGTCAATGATCCAAGACAATTTGCGCTTGGCGTGCCGTGCCGCATGACACGCACTGCCGGAGCTAGACACATGCCGACGCTTCCTCTTTCGAGAATGGTCTTGACTGAGCCTCACCATCACAACCTGTCAACAAATCTCACTCACTTACACCTTATCTTAATCATAGATATCAGCTTCGTCATTATAATCATAAGTGCTATCGGTATTAGACTCATAAACGAGCACTCATCGCTCGTTCTCATGCATGCAATGCAATGCTTCAACGCCAAACTCCTCGAATGCTTCAAAAATGCTCGATCCCAATTCTCATGCTCGCTATGCCCCAAACTCATCAATCACACTCCTCCCCTCTACAAAGTCATTATCAACCCCCGTATACGGAATCTTTAACCCAAAGCCCTCAGGCCCACCAACCTTCATTCCCTTATCCGTCTTCCACAGCGGATGCGCCGGCAACGCAACAACGTTAACGCGCAATCCGTACCTCAAATCCTGAGATCCAATGCCCTCACCGTCTTGACCGAGAATGGAGATTAGATCGGGCACTGTGCATACGACCTGTTGTGAAGCTTCTGAGCCATCGGCGTCGCTGAGGGCTGCGTAGAGATATTCGTTCTGGAAGGGGATCACCATGTGGCGGTCGCTGGGGGCGTCTTGTTTGTGGGATTCGCGCTCGTCTTCGCTGAGGGGCGCGATCACGACGGAGCCCATTGTGTAGCCGCCGCCGATGTAGCGACGGACATCGACGATCTTGCCGGTGAAGAGAAGTTTTCCAGCACAGACGTCAAACTAACCAGTCAGCGAGTACTCGATCAAACAGAAGCGCCCAATTGAATAGTAGCGATCAATTGAACAGAGGGTAAGACTTACAATTGCGTCAACGTAGCTGGTCTTTTTGCGACGAGCATTGTGCA